GATGCCTTGATATGAAGCGAATAATGACCTAATTACTTATCATTGGAAATGTCAATGTAATCTGATTGAATAAATGAAGTAAAGTGATGCTCACAAGACAAATCAATAAGATAGTTGACTCGTTCGGATATCCTATCAACGCGAACGATCGCGACCGTGATGATGATACAAAACATGACGTGAAACAGTGACACCAACAATGAAAGACGGAAGAGAGAAGAAATGCAACTTGCACTAGCCATACAACGTAGAATAATATTCATAAATATTATCATTCCGACACCAATACAATTGGGATTACATGAATTAATATTACAAATGTAATTCTAAATCTAATCTTCCAGGATTCGCGAACTCGTCGTAATTAGCACCAGGACCTGGAAAAGCCTTAGCAAACTCTAGTTTGTCTAAAAGTTCATCAATAAAGAAAGAAGAGATGAAAAGTTTCCTCTGATTCAAAGCCATGAAGTTTTGCCTCACCGCATCATCTAGAAACTTGATTAGGTTATTGAAATAACCGTCAATATTCAAAAGACCAATGGGTTTACTGTGTAAACCTTCAGATGCCCATGAGATCAAAGTAAACAAACCTTCCATAGTGTCAATCCCTCCTGGAAGTATGATGAAGGCTTCCACAATATGATTCATCTCGAAATACATATAGTAATTGCTGGAAACGGTGTACTCTACACCATACGTAGGACCGTATACCTGTCGTGCTGCTATATACCCTGGTATGAAACCTCTGACTCTACCACCATTATTATAGACTGTTGAAGCTACAGCTCCTTGAAGGCCAACATTGCCTCCTCCGTAGGTAAGCCTAATTTTTCGCCTTACCAATTCTCGTCCTAAATCTACCGCTGTAGCCATGAACTTTGGATTGCTACCAAGAGCATGACTACCAAGTACTCCAACGAATCTTATGGTGTGAGAAAGAGCTCGAGAAGTTCCTTCCATAATGTGAGAATGTGAGATGCTCTTGCCACAATTTGATATATATACTCTGAAATCGGACCATTGATGGAAAAGTAATTATCACCAGCCTAAAAACGTACAAGAAAGTGGATTCGCTCCAGACAAGAATGTACTCGCCAATACTAAAGTGTGCTGACGACATGACATATTGAGACTCATGAACAGTGAGATTCACTGTCTTGAGATACGTTCAAATCCGAGACGAAAAGTCAAAATGGCTATTTCCCTAAGACAATGACCCCTTTTGTAACTTCCCAAGAGTGAAACATTGAAAAAAAGAAAACCTACGATTAGTAACGGTAATTCGCAAATGCTATCTTTGTATCTTGTGACTCATATCCTTGAATTACTCAAACTTATTGTGTTAAATATACCCTTGAAACATCTCACTTGATCAATCTTGAAAAGATTGAATTTCATTGCTTGTATCAAAATATTGAATCATGAAAAAAAAAATTTATCCTAACTCACGATTTTCCATTGAATCCAAAAGATGTTTTAGGATACAAATTTTCGAGAACTATACTATGTGAACTATTGACTCAATCACAATAGTAAAACTACCCTTACTTGAACATTATGTCGAATCTCTCTTTGTGAACTACAAAATGGTTGATGTGATTGCGTTACCTATGAAGATTATTATCGATGATAAAAAAAATTGTGAGAAAGACATTTGAACGAATAATTACAAAAGAATGTTTTACAAATTCTTTGATGCTAATGCGACGATATAAGTTTTTTTTACAATTTTATTTTATACAAAGTACTATCTTTTAAAGATATTCGTTAAAAAAAAATTGTTTCTTAAGACACATTGAGCTAATGAAAAAAAAAATTAATGGCAAATTTTTTTTAAAAAAAAAATCGTGAGGAATGTGTTGTATATTAGAAGATGGAAATCTTCACGTTTAAAAAAAAAATTGTGTAAAGTTAGAAATTATCGATTCAATGTCATCCTACTAAGATAAATATTTGTTACTATGGAATTGATCCAAATACTATGGTATGATGTAAACAAATATTGTTATTATGTAATTTTGACATATTTTATGTCTTCAATTTGATTGAATGACGTGAAATCTACTTGTTGATGTTATATGAATCATTGCAACCTTATTTAGATCGATAGTTATAAAAATTGAATTATGAATCCTTGTTTAGCTATCTACTTAGAGAACCTAAAGTGACTACTAGGATAATTACTATTCGCCAAACATTGCTATAGAACTTAAATTGCGAACGTCAACCATGAAAATAATCATTTTTCGAGAGTGAAAAATAATGAGCGTACACCGCAAACCAACATTCCACACTTAGTCTGAGGATAGTTCTAGAACATTTACAAAGTAAAAAAAAAAACTTTTATAACAAATGTGTTGTATTCATCATTTTGTGAATTGCTTCTGATATGAAGTTTTAGCTAAGGAAATTTCGGGACGAAATTTTCTTTAAGGGAGGGAGAAATGTAAAGCCCCAAAACATGGTCCAAAAGTTATTCTATAATAAAAGTAGTTTAGAAATAATATTTTGACCCAACAAAACATTATTTCTATGTTTGACCAAAAATAAAGGAATTTTTGAAGTCAATGATTTTTTTTTGTTAAGATTGACTTTTTATGAATAGGTCTCGAAGAGACGAAACCAACTATATATTTTATGAACAAATGTAATTTACGGATTTTGAGTTGTGACATTTTAAATATGTAATTTGCATAAAAAAATGAGTAGTTGTCAAGCATATAAACTTTTGTAAAATGATATATTGAAATAAATTATTTAAATTGAATAATATTGATTGAATATGAGAGCACTTTTAATTGTATGTCAATTAATTCAATTTTGACTTTGTCAAAGTCAACAGCCAAAAATATAGTGTCATAAAAAGTATTCCAAAAAAATGTGAAAATTATATTGTTGCGTAGAGCTTGACTGTCTGAACGTAATGGTACAATCAAATTTCAATTCAGATAAAGTTGGACAAAAAAATGTACCCTGATTGGGAACATTTTAGTCGCAATCAGGGACACACGTGTGAAATCTCCAAATATCAGCCGCCTAGTCCACTACGAAGCATGGATTGGATAATTAGGCACCAAAACCATACAACTCTTTCTTCATTCTTGGCCTATTTAAGGAGGTTGCATCTTCTTCAAATCTCCATCATTCTCTCCCATTTTTTTTTCTATTCTACTCCTTGTTGTATGGAGAACAATCCGCAAGTGATCGCCGCTGTTAAAGTCACCTGAGGTAGCCACGGTTCTTGCCGGAAGTTGCTCCGGGAAGTTGAATGAAGAAAACATTTCCAGTGCAAATCAGCCCACTTGTGAGCACTTTTACACCCTCTAAACGTCATTATTTTAATCTGGGTTCTAAACGAAAGTTGTAGCCTTATGTCTTACGAAAGCATAGCTTCAAACGGTTCGCGATTTCGTTGAGTAACGAAAGAGATATCGCCCGAAAACCGGGGCTGGTACAGTGGTGACGGGAAGCAGCGAGTTTTATGATTTCCAACGTTGTTTTCGCTCGCGTTCGTTCATTGAGCTTCATATCGTCGATTTCCAGGTCTGTACCATGATTTTAAACAACTTTAGAAGGCATTGGAATGATACTTGAACTTATTGATTCATATATATATATATATATGAAAATATAAATATTTTGACATTCATAATGACCAAAGTTGTTTTGTTGTTAAAGCTTCAAATAAATTGTTTGTGAGTGATCTATGGATGTTGGAAAACATTTTTATGAAGTTAGTTTAAAGCTTAGAAGCTTTTATGGTGTTTTGAGAAATTGGAGAAAAGGTTGAAGATGATGAATAGTAACTCCGTTTTTCCTACAAATGATCGTTATGAATATTTTAAATCCGAAANCTTAACACCATGTGTAAATGTTTAATATCTTAGCTACCAAACAAAATAGAATCCCTACATCAAATAATAATCAAATATATCAATTTGACATTAAAAATACTTTATGTATAAAATCAAAATGGTCTTGGATTTTTCCTCTTGAAATTTCGGTCATCCCATATTTGAAATATATCATATTTTATTTTTGACATCAATAATTATCATATAATTAAAATGATGAAAAATAAAATTATATATATATATATATATATATATAATTTCGGCCCTTCATATATATATATATACATACATACATACATACATACATACATACATATATATATATATATATATATATATATATATATATATGATAAAATTTGTTTTGTCAAAATATAATTATCATATAATTAAAATGACACAAACAAAATATAATTTTAAAATACATATGTATTTTCGAAATACATATGTATTTTCGAAATACATATGTATATATAAAATTATCACAACTATATATTTAATATTACTCCCACTAGTGTAGTATACTGCTCCCTTACAAGTCCTAAGTGTGTGACCCTTTAGGTATCCATAACACTAGCAATGGTATTAATATAAATTAATACCATAGATAATAAGCGGTATCTAGCAACACATTATTATCCTCAGATTATGAAAAAGACGTTCATCTCATCAATACCTTCTACGACACAAGACGTTCTATAACTATTATCCTTCTGTCCTAAATGTCATGATTTAACACAAGGCATGGGATGTGTATCCTTGTATAGTTAAATCAGCTGTTACTGAATCTCAAGTAGACTCGCAGGGATCAAATATTTATCAGTCTCTAGATAGTGACATATCTGGGCATGACCAGGCACTTTCCCAAGTCATACTATTCAGTGGGCCCATTGAGATTATACTTCTATACAGTAGAAGGGACAGATCCTGTATCTGTTATTCACATCTCTAAATATGCTTAGCGGCATACCCAACGCATAACTGTACGTCTACCAGTATTTCAGATAGCATTAGTCATGAATCAAAGCATACGGCCCCACATATAAGAGAATGTAATAACTTCAAGTCTGAGGATAGTTATAGCAAGGTCGATTTGAGAATACTGATAAACACATTACTGTAGATCCATGCAGTATTCTCAAGATGGGTCAATCCAGTCACATATTATCGATATAATATGCACCTACGTATAGATTAAGATATCACAATACCTATAGTCTATGAGACGCAACTATCTCATCTCGTACGTACTAGTCTTGATACGTTATGACGTCCGTATTATCATAAAGTGCGACTAGGGATATTCTAGACATAGCCTTCGTCAAGAAGTAACAGTCTCATATTCAGAACATCGTAGTCCTCATCTATGTTGCTGAAGCGCTATCATCTATGGACTGAAGCTATGTTATGTTACACGAGATATAAAACATACTTCAAGGCCTTTCATTCATGATAAAGTGTACAGTTACATAGGTATTTGATTGCCGCTAGGGCACCTAAATACAACAATCTCCCACTTGCCTTAAGGCCAATCAAGCATTTCTCGAATGCCCATGGACCACGTATGACTCTCATGTTTAGGCTTTCCCAAAGCCTTTCTCAACGGATCTGCGATATTGTCGTCTGTATCTATCTTGCAAATCTCAACGTCCCCACGTGCAACGATTTCTCGTATGATGTGATAACTTCTAACGATGTGTTTGGTCTTCTGGTGAGACCGAGGTTCTTTCACTTGTGCAATTGCCCCATTGTTGTCGCAAAACAACGGTATAGGGTTCTTGATGCTAGGAACCACTCCAAGCTCAGTAATAAAATTATTGAGCCACACACCTTCCTTGGTTGCCTCTGCTGCAGCCATGTACTCTCCTTCTGTAGTGGAATCAGCGGTAGTATCTTGCTTGTAACTCTTCCACGTAACAGCTCCGCCATTCAAAAAGAACACATACCCTGCCTGCGACTTGAAGTGGTCTCTATCAGTTTGGAAGCGGGCATCAGTATATCCAACAATACTGAGCTCTTCTTTTCTGCCATATACCAGGAAGGCATCCTTAGTCCTACGGAAGTACTTAAGGATGTTCTTCATAGCCGTCCAATGGCTTTCGCCAGGGTTGGACTGGTATCTACTCGTGACACTCAGAGCAAAGGAGACATTAGGTCTCGTACATACCATCGCATACATGATGGATCCAATGGCCGACGCATAAGGAACATTTCTCATGCGTTCTACTTCCTCCGGAGTGAAAGCACCCTGAGTCTTGGAAAGACTCGTGCCTTAGACCATAGGCAAACTTCCTCGTTTTGATTCAGACATGCTGAATCTAGCGAGGACCTTGTCTATGTATGTACTTTCACTAATACCTAACAACTTCCGTGATCTATCCCTATAGATCCTTATGCCAAGTGCATAACTGGCATCTCCCAAGTCCTTCATAGAGAAACTCTTACTCAACCACGTTTTGACAGTGGTTAAAGTAGGAATATCGTTTCCTATGAGCAGTATGTCATCAACATACAGAGCAAGGAAGACAACATCACTCCCTTTGACCTTCTTGTATACACAAGATTCATCCGAATTTTTTTCAAAACCAAAGCCGATGACAGTTTCGTGAAAGTGGATGTTCCAACTCCGTGAGGCTTGCTTCAATCCGTAGATTGATCGCTGCAACTTGCATACCTTGGTAGATTCTTCAGGAGCGCAAAACCCTTCAGGTTGTGTCATAAAGACATCCTCAAGGAGGTTTCCATTAAGGAAAGCCATTTTGACGTCCATCTGCCAGATTTCGTAATCGTGGTATGCAGCGATAGCAAGTAAGATCCGAATGGATTTAATCATGACAACTGGAGAAAAAGTTCCGTCATAGTCGATACCATGTATTTGACGATATCCTTTTGCTACCAATCGTGCCTTGAAGGTTTGCACCTTACCATCCATGTTAGTCTTCTTTTTGAAGACCCATTTGCACCCAATGGGTTTGATCCCTTCGGGTGCATCAACCAAAGTCCATACTTGGTTGGTGTACATGGAATCCATTTCGGACTGCATGGCTTGACGCCATTCCTCAGCCTCGGGACAACTGATTGCCTTGAGGTAGGTCTCCGGCTCATCCTGGTCGATAAGCATTACGTCACCCTCAAAGGTTAGGAGGAATCCATACCTTTCAGGTTGTGTGCGTAACCGGTTAGACCTACGGGGTTCTTGTGTATCTTGATCATTTTGAGGTACAACAGTTTGTTCCTCTAGCTCATCATAGAACGAACCATGTCAAGCAGGGTTCGATTCCTCCTTTCAGAGACACCATTCCATTGTGGAGTCCCAGGAGGTGTGAGTTGGGATAAAATCCCATGCTCTCTAAGATAGTCATCGAACTCACCACTTAAGTATTCTCCACCTCGATCGGATCGTAGTGTTTTAATACTTTTGCCAAGTTGTTTTTCAACTTCATTCCTGAATTCTTTGAACATTTCAAAGGATTCTGACTTGTGTTTCATGAGATACACATAGCCATATCTACTGAGGTCATCAGTAAATGTGATGAAGTATGAATAACCACCTCGTGCAGTTGTGTTGAAAGGCCCGCANCACCGTGTCCGGTGAAAGGAGATTTGGTCATCTTACCCAATAAACAAGATTCACATGTGTCATATGATTCAAGATCAAATGACTCCAGCATTCCCGACCGATGTAGCTTGGATATGCGTTTCTCGTTTATATGGCCTAACCTACAATGCCATAATGTTTGGTTCAAACCGTTCGGTTTGTTCCTCTTGGCTGATATGTTATAGACAGGCATGTCCAAGTCAAGGACATATAACCCATTGGTCATGTTGGCATTAGCATAGAAAACATTCTTTCTGTAAACGGAAAGGGACTTGTCTTTAATAGAAATGATGAAACCACTCTTATCAAGACATGAAACAGGAATAATGTTTCTGCTAATTGTAGGAATGTACAAGCAATCGTTTAATTCCAACATTAGACCACTAGGCAAGACTAAACTATAAGTTCCGATTTCCAAAGCTACAACACATGCACCATTGCCGACTCGGAGTTTAATCTCGCCTCGAGCTAACCGTCTACTCTGCTTCAGTCCCTGCATGGTAGTACAGATATGAGACCCACATCCAGTATCTAGTACCCATGATTAAGATATAGACATGTTAACTTCTATAACATACACCTCAGAAGAAATGGTCGTACCTTCCTTCTTCTTGGTTGCGAGGTATGTCTTGCAGTTTCTTCTCCAGTGGCCTGCCTTACCACAGTAATGACATTTGCCCTTTGCAACTCCTCCTATGGGTTTCTGGGTTGAATATGAAGTGGACTTCGATTTAGGCTTTTCGACCGTCCTAGCCTTAATCTTAATCCCTTTTTTCGGCTTCCCCTTTCCGCCTTGGACCATAAGGACAGAAGCACCCTTGCCCTTAGTAAGGTTCTCCTCTGCAGTCTGGAGCATTTTAAGAAGCTCCGGAAGGGGTTTGTCAAGATCATACATCATATAGTTCATGACAAAACCCTTATACCGCTCAGGGAGCGACTGCAGGATCAGGTCCGTTGCCAGCTCCTTCTGCAAGGAGAACCCGAGTTTCTCCAGATTGGTTATGTAACCAATCATTTTGAGAACGTGTGGACCGACCGGGTTCCCTGAAGAGAGCTTGCAACTAAAGAGAGCCTTACTCACAAGAAAACGTTCATGCCTGGATTGCCCCTGGTATAGCTGCCGCAAGGCCACGATCATCTCGTGGGCCTTCATGTCCTTGTGCTGTTTTTGCAGCTCGGTTATCATGGTTGCCAGCATGACATAGCTCACCAGGTTATCATCCTTAACGTGTTTCTCGTAGGCATCTTTAACCGCTTTTGGGGCGTTAGCGGGAGGGGCAGGAGGAATGGGCTTTTCGAGCACATACTCTTTCTCATCCATGCGGAGAACAATGGAGAGATTCCGTTGCCAGTCAACAAAGTTTGTTCCATTCAATTTATCTTTATCGAGAATGGAACGCAGGGCGAGGTTGTTTGTGTTGTTGTTTGCCATATACAGAATTTTGCGAAGATAGTTATTATCATGAATTAAGTATCTAATAGGTCTTTATTAAATACTCTCCCACTATTTCTAACAAGTCAATTACCCTCAGGTATGGAACCAATTGACTTGGGGTTTCTATTTGAAGAATACCCTAGCGGGCCAAGATCCATATTTTACTTAACTATAGTTGTGCTTTGCATCTTGCCCTACAGTCAAGTTATTTAGATAGGAATTCATTCCAATTGCATTAGTTATTACAACTCTTGGTTCGGTGGATTCTTTTAAATAAAATTCTTAATTGGGCCAGATCCATATTTCATTTAACTATAGTTGTGCTTTGCATCTTGCCCTACAGTTAAATTATTTCTGGTAGGAATAAATTCCAATTGTAACAATTTACAACTCTAGTTGGATGATCTGATTTTATTTATTGATCCTACCGCAGTTCCCTAAGTCTCTCATCCTTATGACCAAGACTTAGTTTGAAAGGTAACCATGCAAGGATAGGCAGCGGAATATAAAAATTTTAACATCCTAAAATGATTATCTTGCCCTAAATCACGTACTAAAACATATAGTAGTAAGAAATTTATACCTTTCTCTAGAAGCGGTAAAAACGAAGAAGTCGTAGGAAGAGCGTTGAAAGTGCAAACGTAACCGTTCAAGCGTCCGGTCTCCAACTTTGACACACGAACAACGCCGGAGTCTACCACAATCTTTATGCTAGTAAAGATTATAGTAGTATAAAATATAAAGATTAAAATTGGGATAATAATAATCTTGTATATTTCTATAGAAAATATTTCTAATAATATTTAGAAAATATTATAGATATTTTCTATACAAAAAATGATATTAATGGAACACAAAAGAAATTTTCTCTCACTAGAAAATTATGGCCGAAAACCACACTTACATATTCAAAGATGATGATCTTCTCATATATCAATTTTTTTTAAAGTGCCGTGCAATCAATGCAAAGAAGAAAAAAAAATTCCAAAGTGATTAATCAAACTTTG